TGGGATACTCGCCCTGACCATCTTTATTCCCATGGGGCCACCCTGCTCACGTCCCCCCTCATAGGCCCCCCCACCCCACTCTGACCCTCCCAGGGCCCCCACCCGCCCATCCCCTCATCATGCATCTCCACGCTTGCAGGAAGAGGGTTACAAAGACGGAGAAAAGAGGAGCCGTGTCTGCCTCCCGACGAGCAGCGAGGCCAGTGACGGGGCCACGGAGCTGGTAAGGAGACCCATGGACCTTCCCAGTGCGGGCAGGAGATGCCCGGTGACTTGGAGGGGCAAGGCTGGGCCCCCGGCAGGATCGAGATCTTCCAGGCTAATGCCAGGTCATTGGCCTCTCAGGGGTCGCACTTGGGACCTGCAAGCCCGCACTTCTCCTGCCTGAGCTAAGGGGCCCTGCTGCGTTGTCTGAGACTGCAGCCAATCTCTACAGGCAACACAGCCCTCACAGGAGGGGACAGAGCCCTGCACTGCGTGGGGGTGGGTTACGCTTCCCTTCCCCTGGGTCTGGTAGGCTGCCGGACTCCTGCCTCTTAGCCCATGTCTCCCTCCAAAGGGAGCGGGGGCAAAACACCCTGGGGCTTGGTTCTCCCGCTGGTGCCGCCTCGTATCAGCTCCTGCCATGGGGGAATCGGTCAGAGCCCCGACCCTCCTGTTTTGAAAGGCGAATTGCCTCAGCGCCTGTTTCGCTGGGAGGTATGGGAGGCCCGAGGTGGGGACTGAGGAGGTGCTGGAGGGCTCATTACAGCCAACAAAGCCTTGTTGTGGAATCAACACCCCCTGTTGGCAGAGGGGGAAACTGAGGCATGGGCCGGGATAGGGACTTTCCTGAGGCCATGTGGTGAGCTTGGAATGGAACCCAGGAGTCCTGGCTCATAGGCCCAATAACTAGACAGCCAATAACTAACCATAAAGCAGGAGCAAGACTCCCCAAAGTGGCCAGTCAGGGCTCCGCTGTGCCAGGGGCTGTACAGACTGAATAAAGAGCAGGACTGTGGATCGGGTCCTTTCTGGAGCTCCCTGGACAAGGGCGGGAGCTAACTCTGCGAGTGCTGACCCAGCTCCTCTTCCATGCCACAGGACACGATCAGCACCCGGCTGTGCCAGTACAATGCCTGCTTGAGGCACCTGGCAAACAGCTTCTGGGGGACCAACCAGCTGCCGCTCAGCATCACCAGTGGCATGAGCCTCTGCCAGCGCCAGCTCTCCCACCTCAGAAACACCATCAGCAAGATGAAGGTAAAGGAGCCCATACCCCTTCCCTGGGACAGTGCTGTAGCCTGCAGATAAACCACGGGAGAAACCATTGCTGTCTTTCGCTGTGGGGGGAAGCAGAGCTGACATGTCTCTGCAGGTGGTTTATTCTGCATGTGATTATCACTGCGGATGGGTATGTGGTGCGCTGGTGCCTTGTGGATAAAGCCCTAGGCTGGGATCCAGGAGATAGCGGTTCAAGTTTTGGCTCTACCACAGGCTTCCTGTGAGACCTTGATCTCAGGGCTGGATTAAGGCAGCCCTGAATACCCCCCTCTCCCTGTGATGCAGTGGTAAGAAGGGTCTCTCTTGAGAGGGGGTGGAGTCCCCCCGGCCAGCGGGGTCACTCTCCTTGGGAGATGGGGAACATGGGCAAAAATAGTCTGTGATCATGTCATCGAAGCCTGTATCATGATGCACATGGCTCAGGGAGCTGAATGAAGGTTTCAGGGGCAGCTTTAATTCTGCTATTTCCTAACTGTTGAATGATTGACTTTGTGACCTTCACATTCTTTTCATGTAGCTTTTATGGATGTAATTTCTTAGGAATTTTAAAAATTACTGGGGGGAGTGGGGGGGAACAGATCTCCCCCCGTGGAACCATTTTGACCCTCACCTCAGTCATCAGCAGCGTTGGAGCGTTCAGCTCCACCACACAGAGCTCTGCCTCTGGAGCTAGCGGAATTGGTGGGTGCAGTGGTAGGCTGTTATCGTCCAAGAGAATCAGGCACTAAGAACATAAGAACGGCCATACTCGGTCAGACCAATGGTCCATCTAGCCCAGTATCCTGTCTTCTGACAGTGGCCAATGCCAGGTGCTTCAGGGGACATGAACAGAACAGGGCACATATCGAAGGCTCCAGCCCCTGTCACCCAGTCCCGGCGTCTGGCAAGCAGAGGGTTAGGGACACCCAGAGCGTGGTGTTGTGTCTCTGACCATCTTGGCTAATAGCCATCAATGGACCTACCCTCTATGAACTTATCTAATTCTTTTCTGAACCCTGTTCTACTTCTGGCCTTCACAACATCCCCTGGCAAGGAGTTCCACAGCTTGACTGTGTGTTGTGTGAAGAGGGGGTTAGGCCACGTGGCCAGTGGGTTTTACAGCTATTGGATGGCAGCAGAGAAATAGTGAGACTCAGGATGCCTGGGTTCTATTGCAGGCTCTGGAGGGGATAGACCCTACTGCCCTGTCCCCCCTTTGCACCCTCTGACTACTGCAACTCCTTCACCCTATCCACTCTCAGGCGGCTTCTGCCTCCCCCTCCATGATGCCTGGGCACCAACAGGGGACCATGGGGAGACCGGGAGAGACAGGTTCCCTGCTCTCAGTTCCAGCAATGCAGTGGCTCCTGGCAGCCAAGAGCAGAAATTGTAGGGAAAGTGCTGCTTCCCTGGGCTGGTTTGAGCATGCTCAGTGCAGACAGAATCACTGGACATTTAGCTGCCTAATTCTTAGTCTCTACTGAGCATAAGCAAGATGTATACGTAGGTCAAATTTAGATGATTTTCACAGGCACAAAGTCCTGCCCCCTTGCAAGTGCTCCTCTAACCACTAGACCACACGCCTCTCCTAGAGTCAAGAACAGAAGCCAGGAGTCGAGATCACCTAAAACGTTCTCCTGCTGTGTGACCCGCCACGAAGGCTATGCTGTGACGAGAGCTGGGAAGATGATAGATTTTTTTGGTTCATTGGCCACTCGAAAAGTTGGGGAAAAAAGATCTGTGTCAGGTTGGCCCCAAGCCAAACATTTCCAAAATTTGTGGTGGACGGAAAAAAGAAAAAAAAGCTTTGTTTCGGGTCAAATCATGCGTTTTGTTCTGACAACGTTGAAACATTTTGTTTTGATTTTGACCATTTTTGAATATTTACAAAATAAAATGAAAGGGCATTTTTTAATGAAAAGTCTTTTTAAACTGAAAAATCAAAATGTTTTGAGTCGTTGAGCCTTTTTTTCCGTTTTTTCCCCCTAAACGAACAATTTGGTGAAACCAACACAAATTCATGAAATATTTCCGGCTCATTGAATTTGCATTTTTCTCCAGACAAAGAAAGTTTTGGCTGAAAAATATCACCAAGTTCTAGTCAAGCCTTTAGCGTCACTGATTGAATGTTATTGCTGTAACACCTGAGAAAGGGAGCTGTGGGGAAGATCTAAAGACCAAAGGTTCAAACGTCCATGCCTTCATGGGCGTCATGGGCTTTTCTGTTTCCCCGATTTATAAACCTGGTTTATTTCATTTGCACGACGCAGACTTGCCCTTTCCAAGTGGTTTGATGGCTGGGGAATGTTGTGATCTGTCAGGCATAGGGAGTGACCTGCAGCAAAATCCAGGTGTTCTGTAGTTTGGTGACTTTTGGAGGGGCGACCTCCTGACATTTCATTCTCCCTCTCTGTCTCTTTGTTCTGCCCAGCAGCCGCCAGCAGCACCGTACCCGTCCTTCTGCGAAGTGGCCTGGCCCTTTGCTGGCACCGGCTGGAGGGAGATCACCACCGGGCCCCAGCTCTCCAAGGAGCTTCTTGAGTACTTGAAGCAACTGCAATTCCCCTGTGGCTGAAGACGCACTTTTGTGCAGCTAGTGTGTGTGAGTGTGTGCAAAAGGTGGGGATAGGGTGAGTGTGTTTGTGCATGGCTCTGTGTATGTGTGTGCACGTGTGCGCAGGAACAGTTGAGACCTTGGGTCGACTGTTCCAACATGCCTATGTGATGAAGTCATTTCAGCTCCAGGCTTTCATTGATTTCAACAGAAGTGAGACGCCCCCTTTGTGGCTCTGGGCCTAAGTCCCATCTCTGAAAGAGACAGACACAGGTGCTTAGTCCCACTGAATCACTTTTGAAGAGAGGATTTAGGAGCTTGGACTGGGTCACTTGGCTGCTTTGGAAAACGCACCCAGTGCTCCAAGCCCAGCTGGAAACCAAAAGCACCTTTGAAGCGAGGAATGTGGCTCACGAGAACAAGAGGACTATGCTCTCCTGCGCCCCTTGGTGCGTGACTGCGCATCTCTACATCCATGCTACTAGTAATTATATTTAATATCTATTGCCTCTCTCACCTTCCCACCGGGGTGTGGCTCCACAAGGTGGCTTTGGTGGCGAGTGTATTTTTAAATAAAACACACATCTTTTCTAGTACTGCGACCATGGTATACCTGCATCTCATCCCTTTGGCTCATTTGCACACAACACGCCGGCTGGCTGGCTCGATATACCGCAGCGGAATATGCTCAGCCCTCCACTTGGCCAATCCAAGCGCTGCATGCTAATTTCCCCTTGCCTCTGACGCGTACCACTGCAAGGCCAGGCCAATGGGTGGCAACCCCAGCTGTCAAGCTACTGTTGGGTGGACTATACCACCTGGAGGGTGGAGTGGGGCTGCCCCACTGGCTATGGTGCTAAATAAGGGGTACTCCTTAGGGCAAAAAGAGAGATGGAGTGGGGGGCAGTGAGGGGCAGAGGGAGGCATCTGCTGGTGTTATGGGATCTCTCATGTACATGTAGGTAGATCATACTAGGATCTTGGCCTAGGAAATCCTTGAGTCAGGTCCCTCCAGGGGAATTCAATGTGACAACAACTAGTGTGTGGGGGTAACTAGATCTGGATAATGACCCCTCAAGGCGTTATTTACCCTTGTGCCCCTACATTTACCACCCAGGGAGGTAACCGGACCAGTGGAATCACCCCCTCCACTCCACTTCTGGGTGCAGGCACTCTGGGAGGTGAAAAGGAGAGGCCAGGAAGCCAAAGTTTTCAGACTTTATTTACTGTTGGAAGAGGCAGCGGCTGCTGTGAGTGAGACAGAGTCGAGGGAGTGGGGAGAAGGGACCCCCCTCAGATCAGCTCTTCCCTGTACATTTCAGAAGATCCGAGCCTGGGATGGTCACAGGCTACAGACAGTCAAGTGGGGAGAGGGAGGAACAAAGGGGCTGAGAAAGGGAGACAGAAGGAAAATCCAGAGAGAACAGACTGTGGCGATGAATGGGATGTATTGGGAGATAGCTAGATAGAGGCTACGTATTGGGGATGCATGGATAGATAATAATAATAATCCCTAGCTCATCTACAGCCCTTTCCGTCAGCAGATCTTTAGTGCTTTACAAAGCAGGTCAGGATCATTATCCCCATTTTGTGAATGGGGAAAATGAGGCATAGAGCTAGAACGTCTCTTGATCAAGGACGCCTAGCAGCCGAACCTAGGTCTCTGTGAGGCCCAGTCCACTGTGCTAACCACTAGGCTACACTGCCTCCCAGGTCAGTCCCTTGATAGATGCTGTGTGTGGGATTGATAGCGAGGTAGAAGGGAGTACCTGGGGATGCATGGATGGTTATATACGAAGGGGGAGGAGAGAGAGAGAGACAGATATTCCCCCCCACTCAAAGCGTCACAGCCAAGCAGCACTCCGCGGGCACCCTGTTCAGTGCCTGTGGCACCAGGGCATACCATGCAAGTGACACTGGGCGTGGAGAGGGCTGGTTCATACTCTGGGGTCGTTGACGTGGCCCATGAAGATGGGGAAGCTGTGGTCGTCATTCCACAGCACGAAGAGGAAGGGCTGCTGCACGTCGAAGACCCAGGCAGTGCGGGCCACCGAAAAAGCCGTGGCAGCTGCGGCCTCCACCCCTTCCTCGTTCAGCTCCAGCATGGCCCGGTGCTGGGCGCTCGTCACCAACAGATCTTCTGCCTCTGAGATGCCGCACAAGTTCGAGTCATAGAAAATGCCGTAGTCTGGAGAACAGGCAGAGAAGGGAGGAGGTAGGAGCCACCCCTTAGTGCCCAGGAGTCTGCCCCAGTCCTGGAGACCCTCCCCCCCGGTTAGAGACCAGTGCCAGCGATCAACCATGGAGATGGGCCACTCAGAACCAGGGGAGCCCATGATACGTCCAGTGGTCTCATGGGACCAAGAGCCATGGGACTGATCAGCTATGGGAATGGGTCATTCCAAACCAAGGCAGCCTGTGATGTGTCCAAAAGTCAAATGGAGCCAATAGACATTGGTGTGATGGATCGGCCATGGAGATGGGTCACTCAGAACCAGGCGTCATGATCCACCCAGCAGTCTCACATATCCATCAGACATGGGATACATCAATCAAGGAAATGGGTCACTCAGAATCCGGGCACTGCAGGGGGCGGGGGTCCATGGTGTGTCCACTGGTCTCACAGACCCAACAGACACTGGCGTGGTGGATTAGCCACGGGAATGGGTCCCTCAGAAGCAGCAGTCTGATGCCACCCCTCAGGAAATGACAACAGTGCTCATCCACTCTCCTCCAGGAAGTGATGTCACAACCCAACACTCCTGCTCTGATGTCCCTTCCTGCCCAGAGGGGGAGTGGGCTCTCTTGCCTCTTCCCCTCCCACCCCTCGTACCTCCAGCCCAGCCCCCACTGCCGCCATCCACCACCTGCCCAGCACCATCCTTACCCATCTCCCCCAAGATGTCCAAGAGGTTCTGGGAGCTGTCCAGCTTCAACTTGGGCAGGCTCACCACGGTGGGCTTGAAGGGGGTGCCCATCAGCTTCTTCATCACCGCAGCGAAGGTCTCTTTGGTCAGCTTCTGCTGCACCTCGGCGAGCATCTGGGACACGAGCTGGGGCACGATGACTATGAGGCTCACGTTGTGGGACAGCTGCAGCCGGCCAACCTTGAGGGAAGACAACACAAAGGCCTCTCTGTGCTGAGGGCCTGTCCTGAGCCCCAATCAAATGTCCCCTTCTCCTGTCCGTCCCTTCATGTGCCACAGCTGGGTCCTCATCACCCCATCCCCCTATTCCCCTTCCAATGGGACCTCCAAGCCACCCGTGGGCGTGAACCAGCATCATGCCACTGACTGCCGTCTTGGTCAGCTGGGTATCAGGCCCCTTGTGCCTACACCTACCCTGCACCACCAACTGCAACCACTGCAAGCCAGGGAATGGGTACATGGTGCCTTTGATGTCCCACTCCCCATCCCTGGGACAGCATCCATTTCTCCCACATGCTTTTGTGTCCCCAAGTCCCGCCCCCTTCCCGTTCTTGGTCCTGCCCACTCCCACGCCTGGGCAATTAGGGCTGAGACACACTTTTTTCATCAAACCGTTTTCTTCCCCGAGAGAGCTGGCATTTTTCAACCACGTTTTCTCCAAAACTTCCTGCCAAACATATTTTTGGACAAAACAGTGGAAAATGAACCTTTTCCATTAAATGGTTTCAGGTTTCAAAAGCCAAAAATGTTTCAGTTTTTAAAACTGAAAACCAATATTTTTTGCCAAAATCAAATTAAAAAATGTGTTTAAAACAAAACAAAAAACACTTATTTTTTATGTAAACTTTTTTTAACCAAAACCTGTTTTGTTCAAACCAAAAACCAATTTGCTTTCTTACTGAAAATTTTCCCCCTAATAAACAACTGATTTCCTTTTTAACAGAAAACTGATTTTTTTTAACCAAAAAGCAATTCGATTGTTGTTCTTGCCAAAAACATGTTTACTTTCTACCCAAAAACTAATTAAAAGGACAAAAAAAAATTTCTTAAAGAAAACCAATTAAAAAAAAATTCTTGCCAGAAACCAATTTTCTTTCTAAACAAAATGCAGTTGTTTTAGAGCAACTAAACTCAGTTTTTTCCTTGCTAACAACTGATTTGCTTTCTAACAAAAAAAATGATTTGCTAATAAATTAAAATGTGTTAGTTTCTCATTTTAAAAAGTCAAGGCCAAACAAACAAACGCCCCCCGCCCCCACACAAAAATCTCTGAAAAATGTGTTGCCTGAAAATCATGAAAGAAACAAATGTTTTTGGACTTTTCCCACAAAAAATCTTGGTGTTTTGTGACCAGTTCAGCATATAATGCTAGGGTCAGTTGGAAATGTGGGACAATAAGGACTTGCATCTCTCTTAGGATCTTATCCCAGCCCCCAATATCTGGGCGCCTTGCATGTAGAACCAATGCTCTGCTGGAGAAAGGACCTTCCAGGCAATAACAGGACCCCCGCTCTATGGAGCAACGGATATTGGATGCCATGAGTTGAGAGTCCTCAGCTTGAGATCCCCACCTGCACCTCGAGCCTGCTATTCTGAGATGCTGGCATCACAGGGATGAGATGGGAGGTGGGGAGGGGAGAGGAGTGTGGAGAGGAGGGGCATAGGGGTAGGGTGACCAGATGTCCCATTTTTAAAGGGACAGTCCCGTTTTGGGGAACTTTTTCTTATATAGGCGCCTATTATTCCCCTGTCCCATTTTTTCACAGTTGCTATCTGGTCACCCTGCATAGGGGACATCACTAAGTGACATTATGGAGGAGGTGCAATGGGGTGGAAAACAAGGAGACAGTAGAGAGGAGAAGGAGGGAAAAATGGAGTTGCCGTTGGAAGGTGGGCAAGGCAGGGGCCAAGAGGGGAGGGGTGTGGCACAGAGCACCCACGGGGGCTCACCTTGGCCTGCAGGTTGGGGTCATTGAAGAAGGCCAGCGGGTACTTCTTGCTGGTCATCATGGGCACCTGGATGGAGGCCTGGCCCGGGCGGTAGAACGTCTCATTCACTGTGTTCTTCACTTTAAAGGTCGTCTTCCACTTGGCTGGAGGGCGAAAGGACAGGGAGATGTAGCCGGGGAGCACCCTCAGTGCAGGGATGTCACCAAGGGTATCCCAGAGGAGTCCCTCGAGGGCAGGGGGCTTGAGGGGCTGGACAGCCTGGAGGAGTCCCTCGGGGCAGGGAGCTCCAGGTGGGCTCCCTGGGGGCTCGGCTATCTCAGGGGACTGGTCCCAGTGGGTGCATGGATTGCAGGGGTGGGTCGAACAGGAGTGGCAGCGGAAGCGTGTCCCTGGAGACTCGGCTATTGGGGGGGCAGGTCCAAGGGACTCGGGTTTCTGGAGGGGATGTAGGGGGCAGGGGAGCGGGTCCTGGGCATGGCGCGGTGCAATGCGCCCCTCCCTTACATTGGAAATAGACAGCGTTGAGCAGCACCAGCTGGACGTCAGGCTCCAGCTCCTTCAGCAGCCTCTTGATCTTGCCCTTGGTCATCACTCTCACCCACTTGTTGATGAGTTGCAGGTCCTGGGTCTCATTGCCGCTGAGCATCTGGGGCCGGCTGTTGTAGAAGTGCAGCGACTGGTTGCGGAAAGCTTCGTTCAGGTGCAGGCCTGCAAGCCGGGACGGCAAGGGGATGAGGAATCCAATGCCACCGCTGCCCTGTGAAGCCCTCAAACTCCCCTCTGCCACCTGGGCAACACCAACCTCCCCTTACTCCTACCCCCAACCACGTCGCGATCCCTCTTCCTGACCATAGGAAGTTAGACAACCCCTCGCCCCTCCCGTTGCCTCAGTTTCCTCATCTGTACGATCAGCCTCTCTGAGCAACATTAGATGTCGGGGCCCTGCAGGGGAAATCGCAAAGGGATAACTTGTTTATTTACACTATCTCCACTTGTCTGGAATGGGGTGGTCACAAACAGCACTCTGGCTAATCCCTTCTTTCAGAGATCCCAGTCCAGACTCCAATGCCCACTTCCCAGGAAGCAAGTCTGTCCCCAGAATTGACGCTAGTTACAGACATTAAGGCAGAGAGCAAAGCCTTCTGCTGTTTGTAACAGCTCCTCCCAAAAAGAAGCTGCATTACAAAACTAACAGCAACACAGCATGTCTCCAAACCCTGAACACTTGCTCGCACGCTAAAAAAAAAAGAGCTTCTAAGGCTCTGTGCAACAGTGATGCCTTGGGACCCCTGCCATGACAATATATCTTTCCCTGAAGACATGCTGGGGAGGGGGAGTTGGAAAGTGCTTTGAGATTCTCAGAGGGAAGAGCAAAGCACTGGCATTTCTCTGCTGACCTGAGTGCCGATGTGAAGGCCACACTCCCACTCACCTTGGCGGAGGAAGAGCGCTGAGGCCGAGATCAAGGCCTGGGATTTGAGGAGCCGCTGCAGTGGAGCATGGACGCAGACGAGATCTGAGGGGTAGGCGAGGATGGACTCCAGCCGCCCTTTGGTTTCCCCTCGGGCCCCTGCGTGAGAAGAACAAGTTCTCAGATGGGAGGATGAGGATTGACAGGGCTGGGGAAAGGGGCACTCCTGCAGGGGGACTGGCCTTGGATAATTCTGTATGTGGGTGGCACTGGGAGCTGGGCTGGAGACTCATCCCCATGGGATTGCTTGGCCTCTGGGGTTTCCTTGGTTGGCCGAGCTTCCCCTTCTCATCAGGGGCTCCCAGTACCATTGGTAACACCATCTCATCCCAGCCACCCAGCGGCATTGCTTTGGCCCATGGCCAATGGGAGAAGGCTCTTGGTGCACCATCCCTGAGGGAGGCAGAGCTGGGCATGGCCCCGTCAAGCTGGGGGTAAGTATGGGGGGGATGGTGGGGGGTGAGTGAAGGGGTGTGTGATGGGTGTTTGTGAGAGAGAGGTGGGTGTGAGCGATGGCTGTGTTTGTGAGGTTGAATGTGTGTGTGATAGTTGTGTGACTGCCTCTGTGTGTGTGGTGGTTTTGTGTGTGCAATGGTTGTGTGTGTGTATGTGTCAGATGGCTGCGTGTGTGCTGACTGGATTTGTGTAACGGTGTGTGTGTGCACATACACAGTGGTTGTGCGTGTGTGAAATGGTTGTGTCTGCACATGCAATGGCTTTGTGCACAATGGTTGTGCATGCGATGGTAGTGTGTGCACGCAATAGTTGTGCGTGTGCGTGCATGCATGATGGCTATTTGGGCCTGTGATGTTTGTGTGGACATGTCTGGTGACTGTATGTGCGATGACTGTGTGTGTGAGTGATGGTTCACTGGGTATGTGTGATGGGTGTCTGACAGCTGGATGCACGCGCGATGAGTGTGTGTGATGGCTGTGTGCATGCGATGTGTGTATGTGTGTGAGACGGCTGTGGGTGTGATAGGTTTGATAGTGCACAATGGGGATGTGTGTGATGGCTGTGTGTGTGCGCACAATGGGTTTATGTGTTATGGTTATATGTGTTTGATGAGTGAGTGTGTGCGATGGGTGTTTACACATGATGGGTGTTTTTGTGGTTGCTGTTTGTGAGCATGTATGATGGGTGTGCATGTGCAATGTGCATGTGTATGATAGGTGTGTGTGCAGTGTGTGTGTGACAGCTATGTGTATGCACTCTGGGTGGGTGTATGATGGTTGTGTGTGTCTGTGATGGGTGTGTGTGTGATGGGTGTTTGTGTGACAGTTTGGTAGGTGTGCATGCACAATGGGGGTGTAGGTGTGACAGGTACATGTGCAGGCTGGGTGTGTGTATGATGTGTGTGTGTGTGCACGCGACGGGTATGTGTGTTACAGCTGTGTGTTTGCATGATGGGTATATGTGTGACAGGTGTGTGTGATGGCTGTGAGTATATGTCAGGGGTTCTCAGACTTTTGCACTGGTGACCCCTTTCACACAGCAAGCCTCTGATTCCGACCCCCCTTATGCATTAAAAACGCTTTTTATATATTTAACACCATTATAAATGCTGGAGGCAAAGCAGGGTTTGCGGTGGAGGGTGACAGCTCGCGACCCCCCATGTAATAACCTCGCGACCCCCTGAGGGGTCCCAACCCCCAGTTTGAGAACCCCTGGTATATGTGATAGGTGTATGTGTGACAGGTATGTGTGCAACATTTGTTGGTTTGCGTGATAGATATATGTATGATGTGTGTGTGTGTGTGTGTGTGTGTGTGTGTGTGTGTGTGTGTGGGTGTGTGTGTGAGAGAGCTGTGGGTATGCATGATGGGTGTATGTGTGAGAGGTGTGTGTGTGTGTGTGTGTGTGTGTGTGAAGGCTGGGTGTACGTGTGACAGGAGTGTGTGTGACAGCTGGGGGTATGCATGATGGGTGTATGTGTGAGAGGTGTGTGTGTGTGTGTGTGTGTGTGTGTGAAGGCTGGGTGTACGTGTGACAGGAGTGTGTGTGAGAGCTGGGGGTATGCATGATGGGTGTATGTGTGACAGGTGTGTGTGAGATAGCTGTGGGTATGTGTGAGAGGTATATGTATGATGTGTGTGTGTCTGTGTGTGACACCTGTGGGTATGTGTTATGGGTGTATGTGTGACAGGTGTGTGTGAGATAGCTGTGGGTATGTGT